ACCAGGAACCGAACTCAAGGCCTTGCGCTTGCCAGGCAGGCACTTTGCCGCTGAGCTAAATCCCCAGCCCCCAAAATGGTGTTTTTAAGGAATAGAATGCTGAGGCTCTGTCAGAGTAAGTAAGGCCCTATGTGCAAAATGGTCAGGGCCACTTAGAAAACTACCTGAGAATGTGTTCATGCAAATAATTACCCTACTTATGGTCAGCATTTGTCTTTTGGCTTTGATACTGCTATGAAGTATCAGTGTTTTGAAAGAAAATACTTTTTGTCTTTCTAAATTGACTTTTCATCCGGGATCTATAACACAGCTCCTAACCACCCAAAGCATGCAGTGCAAAGATTTTGATGCCATCCAGAAAGGTTTAACTCTAGGCCACTGGCATAACTTCGAGGCTTCTGCTCTCATTCAGAGAGATTTTTCACCTGGGATTCACTGAAACCTTTGTGGAAGAATGGATGGGTCATCTCTCCACCAAAAAATAATTCGTAGAATTTGAAGGGGGCTCCCAGAGCTGTGAGACAAGACAGTATGGAAACCACTCTACGGAGATGTTGACCTTGGGTAGTGCCTCCCAAGCCAGAGAGGACGCTTCATCTTTGTCTGAAAGCCATCATCCAGGAATGCAGTCTGCTTCGTGTGATCAGGGAATGCCCATCCAAGTCCCCAAACCTACAGTCTAGCCTCCTGTGTCACACAGAGGTAGCATCTAGTGAAAGTGACTTTCTCATTGACCTCAATTCCTTGACATCAGCTATACCAAGGTACCTTGCAAAAGAAGAACCTTAAGATTAATCCTGCAGGCAGGAGTCAGTCTGTCTGTTACCTGTACCACCTGCCAGAAGCTGGGCCATTGCTGGGCTGGGATGTTTTGGTTTGTTTTGGTTTGGTTTGGTTTTAGTTTTGGTTTTGGCTGTGTTTTAAGGCAGAGTCTCACTGGGATCTCACTAGGTAGTTCAGGCTGACTTTGGACTGACTGTGTAGGCCAGGCTGGCCTCAGATTCACGGCTATCCTCCTGCCTGGGCTGGGTTTTTGAGGGACATCTCTTCCTTATTGCTTTCTATGTATGTGAGACAATCTCTTTCTTTCTTTCTTTCTTTCTTTCTTTCTTTCTTTCCTTCCTTCCTTCCTCCTTTCCTCCTTTCTTTCTTCTTTCCTTTTTGTGACACTGGGGATTGGACCCAAGGCCTTTGCACTTAGCTATCTCCCCAGCCATTTTTTAGATTTTATTTTGAGTCAAGATCTCACCAAGTTGCCCATGCTAGGCTTGAACTTGTGATCCTCCTGCCTTTGCATCTCAGAGTGCTGGGATTATAGGCATGCACCACCAGACCTGGCTTTTTCTTCTTTTAAAAATTACTGAGATGATATTTATATGGTTGCCTGCCATCCCCCAGCATTATGGTTTTTGGGTGGTTGTTTGTTTGTTTGTTTGAGACAGGGTCTCGCTTTGTAGTGCAAGCTGGCCTTAAACTCTCTTATGTAGCCCAGGTTGGCCTTGAACTCATGTTGATCCTCCTGTTTTAGCCCCCTGAGTGCTGGGATTACATGTGTGCACCACCATGCTTGGCCAACATTATGTTCT